CTTCTTTGGGTGTGGGAGGGGCTCTTCTCTGCCTTAAGGGGAGACCCCAGCTGACTCAATTGGCAAGCTTTCAATAAAACTTTAAAATCTCAGCTGGTACTTTCATATCTGATCTTCTGCCAGACTGAATCCTAACTGGGGAGAGTCAGAAACTCTCAAATTTTGCTAACAAAATCACTTAGATACCTGAGGACAACACTGAAGTAGAGGTTCACACAAAGGCCAACTTCTGTGTTTTCTTCAGGTGATAATGTAAAAGACTGTATTATGAGAATCTGTTTCAAATCCAGATGTTTTTTTAAAATAATGGAACCATTCTGTTAACATGTGCCACCCTTTAGAGTTATATAAATGTACTGAGATTGGAAATGGGCATCCACAGGGAGAGAGAGGGACAAAATGAGCATGTAACTTTGCAATAGAAACTCTACACCTCTATGCAACGTGATAAGAAAGGGAGGAACTTTGTCAGATCATGACATACATATTTTTCGCATCCCTGTGATTAGTTTCAGATGCCTATGGGATTGGATGAGAATTCTGGGATTTGCAGTCCCAATATATTTCTACGACATGTGGTTGAGGAAGCCTGGCATGTAATTCTTTTTAAAATGGGGGCAAAAATGAAACATATAGTGGTAAATAAATGTATTGCTAATGATTACATTACAAAATCAGCAAACATTTTGCAGTAATTTATTTCCATTAAAAACTGGGGACTCCAGGGTAAGGGATTGCAGCTCTCTACAATCTAACCATAATCCTTTCCAGGACTGCCATCAGAGAAGTATTTTCTTAAATCTAAGGGTTCAAGTTGGATACTGAACATGGAACTGGCTGCATGTATAACAAGTGGACTTGTTTCTGCTCCATATCCAAATATTCTTGAACTTCGGGGTTAGTTTTTTGACTCTTCATAAGCTATTTGAGATTTTACATCTTCAATATTCCCTCTTGAAAGCTAAGGATATTTTATTTTAAAAGTCACATATCCTTTCGATTTTCAATTGATCATATAGATTTTTTAAAAGTTCAATTCTGTGGGAACTGTTTCAAATATTTGATCATGTTATGCTGTATTTTAAACCAAGCTTTTTGTTGTTGTTGTTCTTTTTTGATAGAATCCTATATTCTTTGCCTTTTCAAGTTCCCTGTTCTTTAGGAAATTAAATATTATTTAATCTTAAAATAATTTCTTTTAAAAAAAAACAATGTTCCTTTACATTTTGTATCTCTTGCCCTTGTGCTAAACCCTGTGCTTCCTTTTTAAATTTATTTTTCAAAGGTGGCCTCTAATCACTCTTTTCCAATATATTAAGAAGAATGGTTATGATCTCCTGTTTTTAACTCCTTCTGCTCTGCCAAAAATATGTTGAAATTTCACTCAATCCAGGGGACTTCCAGGGAAGAAATGGCGAACTGAAGATGGTTCTGCTAAAAGTGGAGCAGACGACTGCAGCAGAATGAAGAGCCAGCAAGTAGACTGGCTCTTCAATAATCCCTCTCCAGACAAGGAGACGATTTGAGATCCCCCACAAGTGCTCCAGTCTCTCGCAGGTTTAAAACTTGGGGAGATGAGGGAATAGCTATTTTGCTCAATCCACGGTTGGCACTTTTAAGGACATGAGGTTCGCATACTTTCTTTTCTAATCACTTTTGGAAAGTGCTTGTTAACTGGTTTTCAGCTGTTAGGAACCTTTGGATTGACAAGTTTTACAGCAGCGGGTGAGTTTCCTTCAATCCTTAGTGAAAGAACTTGTAAATACAAGTTTAAGGACTTAAACTTTTTTTCTGGAATAAACAGCAAAAGGGTGATTAAAACTTTGATTTTAGAAAGTAACAAACAGCCTAAGGGTCCAGATAAATTTGAAATAAGGTTCTGGAATTAATTATAAGAATCTTTCCAATGGGAAAATGCTTTTGTTTTGAATTCGTAAAAAAATACATGAAAGGATGGGAATCTGAAGGTTGGACACTAGAAGGAACTAAAAGGAACTAAAGATTACAATTAAAGGAGAAGAACACTTAAATTGGACTTACTACTACAGAATGGAGCAAAATATTTTAACATTGGACATATTGAAGGATATTATGGAACAATGGACCCAGAAGTTAATTTTAAGAGTGTTTGCTCTATAGATAGACTGTGTTTAAAAGATGTTATGGAAGAGGAACAAGCTTTACCGGACAAGACTAAGACTGATCTGAAAGTGGATTTAAAAATGATAAGCTACAAGAATAATATGGAAAAAAGATGCTATACTGGGCATACAAAAGAAACTGGGTGATGTCTTAATTAATACAAATAACAAACCAAGAGAGTGACCTGAATAATCTTCCTATACTGGATTTACAAAAGGCTTGTTAAAACTTTGAAGAATTTTGTGAGAAAAGAAAAAAAAAAGAAATCAAGTTTTAGGATATTATTTGAAGGGACTAAAGATCAAGATTGTTAAAAGTAAAAGAAAGGAATATAAAGTTGGTTTATTTGATCAAGATATGTTATCTCTGGTAATTCTTAATGGACTTTTGCTGATTAGGACTGAAATGATGAGGTTTTTAAGGATTTGTTTATAGATAAGAGATGAGATATGGGAAGAAGAGATCATTTGTTATATTTTAAGAGAAGGTGATAAATTACTAAAATTGTTTATACTTGTAATGAAGGGGGAAGTCATTTCTTTATATATTTTTTTTCTTTAATATATTCTTCTTTTCTATTTCTTTTTCTTTTCTGCAGCTTCAATTTTTTCTTCTTTTCTTTCTTTTAGTTTGTATTAGTTTTATCATTGTAGTTGTAATTTTTAACAAAATTACTATTAAAAAAAAGAAATTTCACTCAATCCAGATTAGCACCAGATTAGAAGTGACTTGGACTGATTTAACAAAATAAACTATGAAATTAAAAAACAATTTCCAATGCTCTGTTTGACCCTGAACTCTAAACCAATTGGAAGAACAGAGGAAGAAATGTGGGTGGATAGAGAGTTATTATCCCCTTGTGTGAATTCCTGAAATCCATCCCAGAATAAAACACCTGTTACGAACCAATTGGTATAGGCCTGCTCTCAAGTCCTTGCCTTTTTTTTTTTTTTTTTACTTATAATGACTTTTTTATTCATGGAAAATTGTTTCAGGGAATTTTAGCTGATTCACAGAGATGCAATACAATATCAACATAAATAGATGAAATGTTTAACTTCTGAGCTTCCTCATCTTTCACTGAATGTCTCTGTTTTCTTATTCTGATATAGGTTTGTGGGACTGCAAAGTACCAAACGTTTCTATCAGCAACATCATCAAGGTTCACAAAGGGCAGAATAACGACATGCTGGAGGGATGAAGGCACAAGAATGCATTCCCTAAATGGAATGTTCTCTAGAATCATCCTAACAATGAAAATCTAATACTGTGTTTACTCATTAGAAGGTTTACTTCTCACTCTATGTAGTTTCTCTGGGATTATTCTGAAGACAACAGTCTCATTATTATACAATGAATCAAACAAGACCTAAGTGGCTGCAACTTCAAAGGACAATCTTCACTGGATTTTCATAGGAGTTGTTATTTCTCAGTAGTGCTTCTAAATCGAGGGCTTCTAGAACTACTGATTAAAAGTCAGGGCTTCTGTGCTAAGAAAAAAGACATGTGAAGAATAGAGAACACTCCTTACCCCCCTCCATATCAGCTATTTGCATGCCATGGCTGATTGGGAGCAAACTGGGTGTCCTTGAGTCCCAATCTAACTTCCTGATGATTAATTTATTCAAATTTCATGTTTGCATGATCACAACCCCTCCCTCCCAACAATTATCCAGTTAAGCATGCTGTGTAAGCAGAGGTAATAGGAGTTGGAATCATAGTTGTATCATGACTTGTATAATTTTCAACACTTACCTGTGGATAAAATGTGGCTTTTGTACTGGATGAACTACTAGAGGAAGCTCCGGTGACATGGTTTCTGTCATAAAGAGGGGCACCACTACTTCCACCCATTAGGCTCATGGAGCTAATCATAGATTTTCCACAAGAGATGCCTATATGGATAGAAGAAATAAGAATGGTCTGAATTCCAGTTATATACTCACTGAAATTTACCAAGGCAATTACTGTGGTAAAGTGCGTCTATGTGGACTGCAGAATCTTTCTTTGTTTTATCACAAGGCTTAAAAAAATGCAAAGTTCATCTTAAATTCCCAAATGGAAGAATACCTTGCCAGAGGAATTTTTTCTTAAATATTAGAATGTAAAAGGTCTTTGCACAAGCAGTACATATCCTATAAGATGTATAGTTTTGCACCATAGCGGCAAACCATCCTATTCAAAGCATATCACTAAAGGATCCTGCAGAGGATATGGCTAAAAGAATGATAAAAGATCTCCAATCAAAATTCTGATATAAATTCTGAGCTCTGGTATTGCAAAGAAAGCAAGAATCCACTTCAAAACATTGCCCTTCATTCTATTTTAGAAGATTCTAAAATAGTAGTTTGGCCAGAGGTTCAACAGCAGGAGCAATACAGTGAGGATCATCATACAACCACAGTAAGTTGTTATTTAGCATGTGGCAAAGTAAAAAAGAAACAAAACCTGAAGAGCGTTATAGCAATACTTAGACGCAGTGTTATTGTTACCTGTAAAGGTCCCATGCTGAGAACTCCCTGGAGCAATGAAATTTAAGGGGACATGAGGGGTCCCGCTGACATATTCATGTGGGAAAGGTCCATTAGGCCCAGCGTAACGCTGGCAAACCACACGCTGGCAAACAAAATACATGCCTCCCATGACAAAAAGAGTAAGAATAATTCCAATGACAGGCCCAATAGCATTACTGTGGGGTCCAGACTCATCCGGGGATTTAATTTTTTCTATAAAAAATAAAAGAGAGAAGGAATTAGAACTCTATCTCTTCCTCTTTACCAGCCTTACAAAATGTTAGTATGAAAATAGTAGAGGGCCATGCTAAATCCTTTTTGGCAGAGCCTTCCAGTTATTAACAACATTACCCAGACACGGCTAATGGGATTTACATTCAAAGTAATTTTTCACTTATGTTGTCATCTTTGATGTAGATTCTGGCTGATAAGGTTTTCCTCTATAGCGTACGATACTATTGGGACAGTTCCAAGTTCCCAGTTGGCACCCAAAGTTTATATCTATCCATAGTCCACTATTGCAAATCATGTGCAGGTTGGTACTTCCAATGCTAGGTAAGCACACTCTGGAACATCCCCCAGGTGCAAAGAATCCACAGTCACTGCAGGTGCTATTTTCTGTACCATTGGCTAGTGCAACTAATTTTAAATTATGAACATCAAAAGAAGTTTTAATAATATGTGCAGTGCCAAAAGGGCAGCATTTGGTGAGGGGGGATCTGCAAATAATGGGAGTGGGAAGGAACAGGAGTCGATTAGAAACATTTGGATTAAGGTTTGTAGAAACAAGAACTGTTTACTTCCCTCTCCTTCTGCATAAAAGAACTTTTCTCCTGTCACCTTGTGTGAGCTGTCTAATGTAGTAAACCAGATGTAGCCCTCTCTTTTATCATCTTTATACAATTTACTGTAAATGAATCTTTCAGTAAACTTACTACAAGGCATGTACATGGCTGAAACACTGTACAAAGGAAGAAATATGCGGAATACTCAACTGGATCACCTTTCCTGGTTTGAGTGACACCTTCCCACTCTCACAGTATCTGCTCTGGCAACCTTGGTCAACTGGCAGAGTCCACAGGTGTCACCTTTGACCTGAGAGGATTCCAACTATATAACACACTGATAAGGGTCTCCTCAAACCTGCAACCAATCTAACATCACCCAGGAGCACCCAAGGTGAAAGGAACGTTCAAACAGAACCAATATTTCATGCATGTTCTCTTAAAAACTTCAGTAGTCCTTTTCAGTGTTCAAAAGGCTGTTCAATGTTTACTTCATTTTATTCCCATAAAAACTCCATAGGGCAGATTGGGGGATTTGATGGTGACTGGCTCATGGTAACTTGTGGCTTTCCCATATTAATTTGGCCTAAGGAATACATGCTTAAAATTATTCCAGACTTCTTTCTTGGCCATACTAGCTAGGGATGATGGGACTTGTAACCCGATGCATCTGGAAGGCACCAAAATTGGGGAAGGCTGGACTAACTTGCAATCTGTAGCATTTTATTATAAGGGCCTTTGTGGCTCTTTTCTGTAGAAGAAGATCTTTACTGCAATGTAGTTATCAATGGCAATCACTCTAATGGAGAACAGCCAGTTCAATTTCTTTTATAACACTCTGGAGATTATCAGAGGGCTGCTATCTCTAGGTATTTTCCCTCAACCCCAACACACACAGAGGTCCTAGTGCTGAGAATACAGAATTATTATCAAACCGTCTATAATCAGAAAGCCTCTCAAAACATGTATGGTTAACACAAACGCTGCAGGGAAGAGCCACCAAAGGCCCAGGGGGAAAAAAGGGAATTGCATCTGCATTGGCCTTTTGATAATAGCTTTATTTTACCCAGTTGTTCTTTCACAGGATGTGGATTTGGCTACATCTGAAGAAAGAAAAGAAAGATGACAGCTTTCTGAAAACTGCAAAGTACTATTGAAGAGTATTACATTTCAAGGTCAGAAGTATTAAGCTACAGAAGTCGTAAAGAAGTGTATTTGCTTTTCTAAACTCAGAGGATTAACAGTTGTCCTTGGATCCAAACCTGCCTTTACCAACCTGACGGCCTCCGCTTGTGTTGGGCTGAAAACTCCCAGAATTTCCTAGCTGTTGGCCATATTGGCTGGGAACTCTAGGAATATTCAGCCCAACATAAATTGTGTAGACATAATCAACAATAGGAGGCCTCTTACATAACCAACTTACCAGTAAGAAGTCCCTTACCACAAGAAAGTTCATCAGAACCATCAATGCAGTCTGGAAAGGAATCACATTGCTGCTTCTTCAGAATACACTGGCCACTGGCACACTGAAACTGATTCTGGAGACAAATTGCTGTGGGGGGGGGGATGTAGGAAAGGAGAAATCACTAAACAATTTTTAATACTTTCAAGATAAATCAACCAAACCCAAACTAAATAATAAACATATCACTCTCCTCAAGACAGCAGTTGTTTTATAAGCCTCCAAGTAACACAAATAAATATTATGCTCTGTCTTCTTAGAAATCAAGCATCTGCTTCACTGGCAGAAGAAAGAGGAACATGAAATGCAAACCAGCCACAGCTCTTCTGTTAAGCACAGAAGATATGGGAGGATAAACTATCATGGTGTCAATGTGGAGTTTATAGCTCTAATCCCCTAAAACATGGGTGAACAACCTACTTGTGGCTTGAGGGCACAATTAAAAAAATATTGGGGGGAGGGAAGAATAGAAGGCTAAGAGGAATCTGACAGTGATGGTCTGACATCATGGGAATGTTTCATTTTACTTTTGGAATGGATGTTTTATTATCAAAAATATAAAAATAAAATTCAATAACAAATTATTGCTATAGGAAATTACTTTTAATTGATTGATTAATAAATTTACTTCATTTGTATGCCGCTGAGTCTGGAAGGCTCTGGGTGGCTAATAATCAGTAACTTCACTGAACAAGAAACCTCCTCAGCAACAGCAACAAAAAAAGCCACCATAAAACAAACCAAATACAGTTATCAAAAGTATATATTCAAGAAAATGTACAAAACAGTTCAAATCCTTCTGCTGCAGTTGATGAAAAAAAAAGGTCTTAATTGCTGTCATATAAGTCAGGGAGAAAGGAGAAGATAACCATGGGAAGGGCATGTGAGAGCATGGAAGAGGTGATGGAAAATGCTGGCTTCTGCTCCCATCTGGTGGCATTCTTGTATAGGACAAGATCTGATTTTAACGAACAGGCAGATGAATGTGGGAGAAGACAGTCCCTCAAATAACCTGGTCTGGAACCATGTAGGGCCTTAAAAATGGCAACCAGAATCTTGAATTGCACCCAGAAGCCAACCAGCAACCAATGCAGGTCCTGAAGCAGTGGGGTCACCCAAGAATATCAGAATATACCCATCACATCCCAGGCCTCTGCATTTCGTACCAGCTATAGCTTCCAAATGCTTTCTACAGGCAACTCCATATAAAGTGACTGTGAGCAGGGCCCTACAGGAAAGACCACAGTCAGTGTACAAGATGTAATTGAACAAAAGCCCTCTTGGCCACAGCTGCCACCTGCTTACTGAGCAGGAGCTAAGAGTCCAGGAGCTAAGAGTCCAAGTTGCAAATCATCTCTGAATAGGGGAGTGCAATTCCATTCATAGTCAACAACTGTTTCCCTAGTCATTTGGCCCTCAAATCCAAAGCCAATCTGTCTTGGAGGGATCAGTTTGAGTCTGCCCCTTCCCATATAGGCCCTGATAGCCTCCACACACTGGGTCAGCCTTTCTACCGCCTCCCCTGTTTGACCAGGCTGAGATGTATAAGTGGGTATTACAAGCGTAGTTCCATTTGCTTTCTCTCATTGCTGAATCTAGCAATGTGTATGTTTCTAACATAAATTTTGCTGATAAATAAAGTACACAGCTCTTACTTTCACAGTCAGATTCATCAGATTTATCTTGGCAATCAACTTCTCCATTACATCTCAAATGTGCGTCAATGCACTGCCCCTTCTCACATTGAAACTGGGTTGCTGAACAGATGGGGCAGCTCTCCTCATCACTCTGATCGTCGCATTCTGAAAAACCATCACAATGCCACGCCATGGGAATGCAATCGATCTCACCAGTTGCACATGTGAACTGATCTGGGGAACAGGTTGGTGGCTCTGGGAAAGGAATTTTTTTAGAATTACATGAAACTCTTCCAAAATATTAAATAATTTACAACAAAGAAAGCACTGTTTATTATTTTTTAAAGCCCTTGTACTAGATCCTGTAACAATATCACACTTATTTCAATCAGCCTGAACAATCACTCTGCCCAGACAAGACAGCTCAACCAATTTTACAAATAAGACAGGAAATACGCAGAACCCCCTAGATGTACCGAAAGGAACTGCAATCTAATATATGGGGGCTATGTTTGAAAATGTTGTCAGTATCAAAGAGATGACAAATTTCATCCTGTGATTTAATCTTAAAGCGATAAACATGGAAACTAGTTCCAAATAGGGCAAATTCAATGACTAAAAGATAAGTGCCACATATACCAAACACTAAATCTAAATTACAAGAAAGTAATTAACACGACATACTATAATTAGGTAGTTCAAATAAATAAAATTATAACTAGAAGAATTGTATCTACATAATTAAAAAGCTAGCTAGCTTTTCCTCCAGGTCCTTGTACAGAAGTTTGCCTTTCATGAAAAAGCTTGCCATTCAAAGTTGAAATGCAAGTGACAGCTAATTAAAAAAAAGTTTGAGAAAAGTCAGTTGATAATAACAATCAAATGTTATTACCTTCATAGAACAAAATTCTGTATAAAACATCAAACCACAAAATACAATTAACTGAAATATTAAAGGGTAAGATGTCTAGTTAACTGACTTCTAATATGAAAAACACAATCTTATTGATACCCAAAGTTTCCTTAGAACAATCAACACTGAGCAAAATGTTGCTACCTTTTTTTGAAGTTTCTAAGGATTTATCAGCTAGTAAAAAAAAAAAAAATCTTCTCTCCCATAGAACATCTAGAAGGATTTACAAAGAGGGGTATTATTAATTCAGAGTGCTTTGAATGCTACAATGGATAGCTCAGAGAAACATGTGATACTGATTGAACTACACTCTCCATGCAGGGACAGATTCAATCTTGAAAGAGGTTACTCTATTTCCCTTCTACACCTCTTGAAAAAGGTCTTTTCCAAAGGTTGATGTCACAATGGTGAGAAGAATGGTGAGAATTTCCATTATTGTCCTTCTATATGCCTAGATCCAGGACGTTGTTTGATCTCTCGTAAGGTCCTATGATTTTCAAGGCTTGAGTTGAGAATCCGCAATAGGCAAAATCTGAGACTATGTATTTTTTCCATGAGAAATTAAACTTGTACACAAGGATTAACTGGTTTAAGGATCTTTCCCTCCCCCCTCCCGCAATTAACTGAAACAGTGAGTGACATGGATCATTACTTTTAAAAACTCACAATGAATCCCCCCCCTTTTTTACATCTTTATAGGTACAGTTTGTGCACCATGAAGTATTAGACTCAGTACTTTGGCCCTGAGTAGTGTGACTGCAGAAGCAATACATAATTATGTCTGTAGTGGTTGATGAATGTGAGATACTGAGGATTTCAAACTATGATGGCTAGAAGAGAAGACAAGGATAAAGATAAAATTACTGTATTAGGAATAGTATGTAAATGTGAGATTCAGCATAGCAATAGGAAGAGTGCATTTGTCATGAGGAAACTCTCAGAAACCAAGAAACATGAGCCAATAAACTGACCTTCTTTCTCCATAGAATAGATGTGAAACTCCAATACCACAGAGCATGTTGTGGTTGCAAGACAGAAACTGTTTATAAGAGAAACTGTGCTCCCTGGAGAGCTCATAGTACAGCAAATGTGTCATTTAAGAGAAACAAGTATTTTCAAAATAAACTTGAGAAGAGAAGCTTTAAGCTGCAAAGCTGGAAAAAAATGCCTTCCTGATGAGATGGGATGTTTATTTTCATAGAGAATATAGCTACTGTATAAATATTTTTAAAATGTTTTCTTCTATAAAAGCAAAGGAAAGATATATACTGGAATAAAATGAATAAATTCAGAGACAGTATACATACACTGTAATTGAGGAAACTGTTATCCAAGAACACTGTGCTGTACTTCTTGCTGCTGAGTTGCATAATATCTATTCTATGATCATGCTATTTCCTATTGCCTCTTGTTTATCTACCCAAAAATAACAATTTTCAAAGTTCTTGGAAAATACTTGGAAGGCCTACTTTTTGAATACTAAATATGAACTCAGAAGCAAAGCTTCAAGCAGTTGAGCTCCTGGCCTAATGTTATACGGAATTCAGTTTTGTAAGGAAACTATAAATATTAAGGTCATCATCATATGGCTGCTGTCACTTCCTAAAGTCAACTTTCTTGCTCTTGAGAAGCTGTCTATAAGTTCATTCAGAAGATAGAACTAGTTAATTAAAACAAAGCACACTGTATCTATCCAAAGGTGGCTTTGTGTTATTGGAAAATGTTTCCACTCATGGAAGACAGGGACATGTATCAGTGTACGTAAGTTATACTGACCACATCTTCAAACAAAAATTATTGAATACAACTAACAAATACAGATTCCCTTAGTTATCTGTGGTTCTCATATTCACAGTTGGGAAATACAGACCAGATCTCATTATCTGCGGTAAAAGATTTCATATATCTTCAGTATTTGGAGATTGCTTCTGTGTGGAACTTTTTGTGCATGTTATGCATGTTTAAAATGACAGATGGGACTTTGCACACTTTTCATAAGGTCTTGATTTCTGTGGTTTTGTTATCCACAATTTTGAGGCTGGAATGAAACCCAGGAATAACAAGGACTACCTTGTATATGTTATTTAAATCCTCAAAGGAAAGTGAGAAAAGCAGGAGAACGGGTGAAAAAAACACCGAATGTACATGCCATTTGCAAACAGGACTGCCTCTCAGTAGTATTTAGTACTCCAATCACAATATTTCCTGGAATGTTTGACTAGTGACATCATTTTGACAAAGCTCAAAGGCACTACTGCTTACAGAATCTCTCAGTATGTTAAACTGTACTCTGTTTCCAAACATCTACATGATGCATTGATGAGATCACCCAGAGTTCACAGTTTGGATTTGATCACTAGGTTAATAAAATCCACCTCTTGTTTGCAAGTGATGGAATGATTCTGAACAGGTCCTGAACATGGAGAAAGAAACTGAGGTTTAGTCCAGACAAAATGGAGGCTCTGCTACACAGCAGACAAGCTAATATGAGGGCAGGATGCAGGCTGTTCTGGATGGAGTAGTTTTAGATTGTACATATTTTAAGGAAAAAAATAAAAATGCCCCTTGGATTTATCTTTCTCTATTGACTTCCTGTTTCTTTTCATTGAAATAAAGAACCTAAGAAACCATTTTGAATCAGACATCACTACGGCTACTTTTCCTTAGAGCATTTCCTAATCATAATGAAAAAAGAATCACAACATAGTTCTTGGTGGGAACAACTGGCATAGTTATGAAAACAGTTAAATGCACCACATTCATGTACTGTAGTTAGTGTATATTAGACTCACTATGATTTTTATAAAACTCCCTCTCCACTACAGTACAGATATTACACAGGTCTTGTTAATTTACTGTCACAATTACAGAAAGATTAATGTTTATGTAAAAATGGCAGTCAAACTCACCTGCTGAATTTAAGTTGCCCTCATAATCTCATTTGGGTGCAAATACTGCCTATCAATGGCAAGGGACTGAGTGCATGAAGTGGTCAAGCAGCATGAAGGCTTCCCACAAAATGGGGCCCTCCAGATCTGAGTTTGACCTACATAATTCTTACGTTGGCTGAGAATTATGCGAGTTGATGTCTGCTATATCTAGGGAGCACTAGCTGGGGAAAACTACTCTAGTACCATGAAATCCAAATATATCTGCCTTGTGAAGCTTAAAAACTTGCCAATCTCTACTGAAAGGAAAGCTTCTGCTTAAGATTACTTACCTCCACATGTTAAGAGGTCCTGCAGAAGTACCAAATGAACAGGGCAGGAACACCTTGGAGTTCCATCTCCTTTTGCTATACAGAGGTGTGAACATTTACCATTATCTCGGGAACACGGATGGGTTGCTTTATATAGAGAAAGAGGAAGACAGCAGTTGTTTATAGCTCAGGGGAAAAATTCCTAAATCTATTACTAGTTAAGTATGGAGTTTGAAATTCAACGTTACTTTACAGACTCATTATACCAAACTGCTGTATCACAATTAAAATCTTGGAGGAGGGAGGGTGGGGGGGTATAAAGGCAGCAATAGGATATGGTAAAGGGAAAAATAAAACCCTGATTTAGAGACTAGAGGTGTTCTCAACCAACATCTTTAGAATATTGATGAAATGCACCTTGTTATTTGATTTTTAGTAGCAAAGCAAACTCCATCTCACCGAATCAAAGGGAAAAGTGGCTCTATGAAGCCCACTCCATTAGCCTAGCTGATTCACTTAAATCGGCTCCACCACCTCCCCTCTCTAAACTAGTTAAATCGGCTCCACCACCTCCCCTCTCTAAACTAGTTAAATCGGCTCCACCACCTCCCCTCTCTAAACTAGTTAAATCGGCTCCACCACCTCCCCTCTCTAAACTAGTTTCTGTTTCCACTCAAGCTGGTAATTAATTATAACTTTAAGAACTATTTGTTTCCTCTATCCTCCCACCCCCTTTTTCTTTTGAATTGTGGGATTCAGACACAGGGAGAGACTGACTGTTTTGTTTCTATGCATAAATATATTCTATACGCCCTACAAATGGTAATAATTAAATGCTGCCAATATGCAAGAAAGAGTGGCCCTTTAGGACTACTTTTATTTATTTAACTGATATATAGGCTGCCTGTCTGCTTTGGCGAGGAATGAATTTAACCAACAATGGGAATGGTAAATTCCTTTTGTATGTTCTCTGAATATAGACTATATGACTTTCTTCTAAATAAGTATGCATAACATTCAAGCAGCACAGGGTGCAAAAGCTGAACTAGTATCCCTTCTTAGACTGGGCTCAATATTACCCGTGATCAAACAACAAGTGCATTCTTGGCCCCCAGGAAGCATGGGGTATTTTAGGAGGAAAAACACATAACTAAACAGATTTTTTTTTTTTGCTTTCCTCTTGTTCACTCAGGTGTAAAACTAAGAAAACAGTCAGTGTTTAATGTATAGGCTCATGGTGGCATTAGAACAATCACTGACTTCTAATGAACAAGGAAAGGTCAACATTTTCCAAAATGTGTCCCATTTCAAAGATTTTTTTTCAGTGCTCAACAGCCATTTTTCTTACAGTAGGGAAATGTGTACAGCCTACTGTAAAAAGGTACATGCTTGATCATTAAAAGAAAGTGTACTCCTTGGCAAAGGGTTAATAACTTTACTATTGTGTTTTCTGATATCTAGGACTTTGCTATTGTAACATAATGATTATGTGCAATATACAAGGAAATGATGGATGAGAAATCAGTTTGACCATCAAACAGCCAATTTCTTTTAGAAAGAGTAGACCACACATGTAGGGAGATTTCATATCATGACAAGTGATTACCAAAAACAGGTCTTTCCAACCAAACCAGAAAGTATCTCATCCAGGGTTGAAGCTGGTTTGTTAGTGGAGCTTTGTAGTATTTTGGGCTTACAGAGCAGTGATGGAAAGTATTCAGGGAGATTGTGGGGAGCAGGTTTTTCTGATCCTTTTAAAACATTAACAAGATGATTTCTAGAGAGAAGCTCTGCTGAATGAGAACAAAAAAATAATCCCTCTACCCTTAACATATTCCTAAAACCACTTGTTTTCTGATACCTTCATTCATGCAAAGAGCAGATTTGTAAAAAAAACGTGTTTCTGCTGTGGATGAAGCATGAATTCTGAGATAATGCAATCCACTTTGGATACATTTGGACCATCTCCAAAGTTAGAGAACTCTGCTCCAAAGAACTCTTAGCTAAAGTTGGCTTGTCTTGTAGCTTCAGAACCACATCAAAGGGTGTATTTTTAGTTTTAGTATAAGCTTAATTTAAAAAGTTCTTGAACATCCCACAGCATCTTGGTAAAAAGAAAATACATGGGGTAAAATAGTCACATTTAAGATGAATTTCACTCAAGGTTGATTTATATGTTAAGTGGTCTGCCTAATTTAATTCCTTATACTTTCAAATAAATTGTAAGATATTAATTAACTTTCACTGGCAGGAACATCCTTCAAGATGTTCACAGTGTAAAGGCTATTATCTATTGGAAAAGATAATTTAAATTTCCGCACTTAAATGTTTATTTCCTTCTTAAAATGAGGTTACTATAATACAACATTCGGTTACTGATAGACTAGAGACCTGAGAGAATCTATAATAAGCATTGGATGCAATCACCTTGAAATTGGAGATGAAAATCAGAAATTGGAACATTATCTGACATGATCTGGACTTGTCCCCTTGTTGCCACTTTGGGGACTGAAATCTACAGAATCGTTAATGCAATTTTAGTTCATGCACTGACAATTAAATATGCATCTATGCTAATTGGCTACATCCCAAGCAGCAAAACATGTAGACTTTTTGTGCACAGGTTACAAATGAAAGATGTATGTATTTATTTACTGGATTTATATCTTGCTGACTCATATGGGCTCATGGTGGCTTACAAAAATCTACAATAAACAACTGCAAATTCAATGCTTATGGCAATGACTAATCCATAGTTAAAACATCCATAGTAATAATTAAAACATCCAGAATAATGTGAGAACTAAAACGTCCAGAGTGAAACAGGTAAGCAACCATAGTGACCATGATAACATTTATCACAATCACAACAATTCTGAGTACAAAAAGGTTAACAACAATCAACCAACAAAGGCCTTCTGGAACAGCTTAGTCTTAACAGCCTTCCAGAAGGCCTTCATAGTGGGGATCATTCTCATTAGACAATACTGGAAGGACAAATTTACAGCTGACCTGTTGTGAAGTATTGCTAATAAGTATGATCTGTCAACTTCAGGAATTAGAGGAGGTTTTTTTTTTTTCTGTCTTTTTGATGAGGACTGTCAAATCTATATAGTTTTCCTAATTCTGTGTTGTATGTAACTTTTAATCTATTGCATTAGATAAATAAATAGGTAGATAGTCTACTCAACAAAAATAAGTAAATGAGGAGGTGGTTGTATCGATTTTAGAGTTGGATCACATTTGAACCATTATGACCCACTTCCTATTATGGAATAATCACTTCCGAAACCAAAATCAGTCTTGGAATGGCCAAATCAGTCTATTCTGGTAAAAAAAGGAAAAAAGAAAGAATGAATGTTCTGAAATAAATAAAAATTCAGCTTTATTATTGGGCCATGAAGTTGGTACGCACTATTTTATTTTATATAGTAGTGTTCATTTTCAAATCAAGAATTGTAAAACAAAGGAGTTCAGTTTACTTATGAAAACTTAACATTTGACATATGGAACCCATTTGTTTTTCCAAGGGACATGACTATTTCTTGAATTCACTTTTGACAAACAATGAATTAGAATGCCTCAGCTAAATGAAACATAATGCTAGATTTACAATGTTAATTGGGGTTTGTTTTATTGTAAGATCTTCACCAGTACATGAGGTAAACAATGTAGTATAGTGATAAGAGTCTGGACTTGGATTAATTTGTTCAAAGTTCATATTCCCACTTGATCCCACTGGGTGACTTTGGGAAAATCACTTTCTCTCAGTCCAATTTGCCGTATAGAATTATCATTCTGAAAATAAAATTACAGGACAATATTCCATACTCCTCCTTAAGTTCTTTAAAAAAAAGATATAAATGCATAATTAAATACCATGTTATCTTCAAGTACTTATGATTTAGAATCAATTCAGAACATTTAGTGCCAAACTTTTTTTTTTTTCAAGAAGGCTCAAGCCAAAATTGTCCTTCAGAGATTTAAACTCCTACGGGAACCGACTCATGAACCTAAGCAGCCATCTGAGAATAAAAAAGGGTTACATAACAGAATATTGGAGAAAGTTAAGAATTTACTATTGTAATAAACTTACAGAATTCCTCCATATCAATATCTTCAACGGCATGTATACCAGTTAGGTGAGCAATTCGACCTTGTATTCTGGTCCTCTTATATCCATTGGTTTTCTCAACTCTTTCTATCATCTGCTGCTGCCGATCAATCCAGTAAAGATGATTTCCCAGAACTGTCAAACCCATTGGCTGGAGAATGTTGGAATCTTGTAATGTGACACGGTTAGCCCCTGAGAGTATAATACAACTGTTGTCAATATAGGTTTCTTTTTTTTCTTTTTTTTTAAAGGTTTTTGAAAGAAAGTAATAATAATTTTTAAAAAATTACCATAGCTACTTGATGGTTGCTCAGCAAAATGAGCATCTTGAGTTTTGTAAATGTTCTACACAACAGCCCTCACACATGAGTAAAATGGATACTAAAACAGATGGCAACATTCCTTTAAAGGACCAGTGAAAAAGTAAATACAACCAGTTTCATTTGATCCAGAAAGAAAAGTATATATTAAAACTACGTAGCTTCTGCTGTACAAGGGGTTTTGAGGCAAAGTTATACTCAATGTCCCATAAGATAAATATTTTATGAGCAATTTTTCTTAATAATCACATTTCGTATAGCGTTCCAAGAAGAACTGAATTGTAACATTTAGAAAAAGGACTACTATATTCTAACATATATTAAACTAGAGAACTGAATTAGCTCAATTCATTTAAACCTGCACATGAAATGAAATTCTTTCCATTTGTCAAGTGAAAGCCTGAAGAAGTGCACTTTCAGTATTACATGCCTTATTGTGGCTGGTCCTCCGTTCATTTTTACCAAAAAAAGGTTATCTTAAAAGAGTCACTCTTTTTATGTTCCTAATATATAAACTGCAGTGGTTTATTTTACTGAAATGTCACAGCAGATCTTGCAAACTGAACTGAGCATAAGGCCCCGTTTGAACATGCTGCTTCCCATGTACAGCATCATCTCATGTGGCTATATTTATATAACTTATACAGTTATATAATTAGACTTATGGCATTATATAAATCTATTTAAATCTAATATATAAAGTTAGATATGGTTTAGAGAGAAGCCTCTGAAGTGCTTACATATTTATCAGCTGGTGTTAAAAGAGAAGAAATTGGCTAAAACTGCCAAAAGTGATGTATGGAGAATTGCAACAATTCACACCAAGCCTCAAAAATATCAGTGCAGAGTCTTACATCCCCTGCCAAACAGAGAATCATTGTGACAGTGTGGGTGTGTGTATCTACAGGAGAGTAGTGCCAATCCTACAATTTATTTGATTGGGCTGAGTACAGAGCTATGTCTGTGTAATCTACTTTTACCAATCGCTGAGAAAAGAAAGGGTGGAAGAGAGAAGAGGCTGCATATCATATGCCAATGTATCGTTACAAAGATTTTGAAAAGAGTAATAAATAATGCTTGGGATGAACTCCTATTTTTCTCTCATGTTAAAAAAACTCACACCCCAGCCATTCCTGATTTATTATTAGTGGTAGCCAAAATTAATCTGACAGTTTTATTTATCTGTCCAGGGATAAACTGAAAACAGGCCCCCTCCATGATAATTCTTGGTTTTCTTTGGGGAGAGAAAAGAAGTTTACAACTAACTCAAGGTAAAGCAACATGAGCATTTTGTCTTTTTTTTCTTATATCAAGAAGAAAAAAAAGCTTTGTCACTGTTTCATGACAGAAGATTGTTGTTATAAGGGCCATTCTGCAGCAAATGGGCACTTCTCCCAGTCCCCGGCTGCTGCTTCACACAATTTGAAGAAGTGATGAAGTTTTCTAATCTGCGAAAGAGGGGAGGGGATGTTCGGACAAAATCTTTTGTCCCCTCATGAGACATACTTCATATTAAATCACAGTAGATGGTAAGTAAAAGAAAGCAAAAATGGTATAGTGCGTAAGGCGGTAGAGTTCTATTCAACCACTACGTTCCCTGAGTGACTTTTGGCCAGAAACTCTTTCTCAACCTACTTCAAAGGATGATTTAGAGGGGAAAAACTGAAGGAGAAAGTGCTTTGTACAACACCCCGAGTTCCTAGAGGAAAGATGAGATATAAATATTAACTATACCACTGACAGTTATTGTAAATGCCTTGGAAAAATAGGGCATTATTCACTACTCTAATGTATAACAAATTTTGCATTCTGCGTAGAAACAGTAATGGGCGTTCTATTTGCAGCACAAGTATTTTAATTTTAATTTATGAACAAACAAAATGTAGCACTCTGAAATCAAAGAGTCATAATATGTGATGCATATTGCCTACTTAATAAATGCTAAAATTCTCTTTTATCTTAGTTATCTTTCTTCTTTTCATAACACCAAAAGGGCCTTACACTGTTAGGGGTTTTGTTTTGTCATCTCTTTATCATTATTTTTTTCTTCAATGACTGCACAGTTCTCCTAGTTTATATTTCAAAATATATGCTTTTAGCATAATTATTAAAATCCACATTGACATAAAAATACTAATGTGCTAGTCTCTTCCTAGTACAATTTTACTCCATATTTCTATTATATTAATAAATTAAACTTTCCTCTCATGAGCAGAGATTCATATTCCTGGCTGCTAAGTCCTTCTGGCCCTATTCAAAGTTGAATTATTAATTTTTAATGTGTGTGTGTGGGTGTTCTGTTATTGTATTGGTTTCTGCTTTATGTATATATTACATCCTGCTTTGGATACAAAATAGAGGAGATGAGGATAACAATATTAATTCTGACAATCATCATTACCATTATCACTATTTAAAACATTCATATTCTGTAATTATATTTGAAGCAGATGGCAAAAATGTAATCAAATATTTATAACCAAGGAGAAGAGTAAGAGCTGAGAAGTTACAAAGAAAATAGACAAGGGAATAGTATCTATTACCAGAAAGCCTACTTTAGGGAAATGTTCATTCAGCACTCAGTTACAGAAGCAGACTTATCAATTTATCATTGATCAATCATCCTAGAGAAATGAACTGGTTACTAGCTTGTGTAGTTCACTAAAAGGTTCAATGGATGGAGTGCGTAAAGAGGAAAACTTAGGACATTTCATGAAAAAAGAAGTGCACAGTTTGCATGGAACAGAACACACCTGATAAGTCACAGCTTTCAATCCGTTTGAGATCGGCATCCACCCAAAAAAGTTTCCCAAGCTTATTGTCAATCACTAGTGCAACAGGTCGAAGCAAGCCAGTGGTGAAGAGGACTTCCCGTTCTGTACCATCCAACGCTGCACGCTCGATCTTCGGGGCTCGCTCTTGCATATTAGTGAAATACATATACCTGACAACAAATATGAACCATTGAATTCTTAGTAACTGGAAGACAGACTTAATCTATAATCATATTCTCTGACATTAGGAGTATTTTCCTAAGTTGAATTTTGTTTCTCATCTTCTAGGGCTGATTAACTACTATCGTGTTCTGTGGTGAAGGGAGATTCCATTAATATTAGGGGAATCTTTTTTGCCTGTAAATAAATATACAGCTAGAAAGAGAATATCTGAAAGATATTGCCCACTCACTCCCAAGCTAAACTTCCCTGATGGACATGCTGCAGTTGATCAAATAAAGCAAAAAAGATTAGGAGCAGAAGTCTATATGCGTAATGACACTTCCTCCTTCATAGTCCCCGGTGCACTCACAACAACTGCTCTAGAGAGTTAGGACCATCCTTTGAGACAGATGTGTGGGGAGTTCAAGGCAGAGATGGAATTGCTGTCCTCACTTATTTGTCTTTATTTAGTTTTATGATTTTCTCCAGGAACTCAAGTTTGTAAAAATCCTTTCAGTAGATGGATACATTATCAGGATTTTCTCCTATATTTTACATTTGAAAGTTTTATTTCCAGAGACAAGGGCTTAATTATTCCCAGCAAATTGTTAGGTACCTTTTGTTTTATTAAGTTAAAAGAGGTTTCAACAGTCTTGGTGGTCTAGCATTAAGAAACTGTCAGGCAGCCCTATGAATTTGGCTCCAAGTATCCCAAAATAACAAGCAAAATAAATTAATATATGCTATAATGTAGCACTTACAACCTCCTTGGAGCACTTTGCAACATCCATACAGGTAGTCCTCGCTTAATGATCACAATAGGGACCAGAAAATTGGTTGTTAAGCGGGGCAGTCGATAAGCAAGTCACCACAAGACTGGACCAGATTTTATGACCATTTTTACAATATTGTTAAGTGAATCACATGGTCATCAAGTGAATCCAGCTTCCCCAATGGACTTTTGCCAGAATTTGTTTAACGACCACATGGTTTGCTTAACGACCATCATAAAAAAGGTCGCAAATTGGCTGCGATCACATGACCGTGGTGTGTATGTGTGTGTGTGTGTGTGTGTGTGTGTGTGTGACGGTTTGCAGCAGTTGTAAGTGTAAGTACAGGTCATAAAGACCTTCTTCAAGGCCGTTGTAACTTCGAACCATTGTTAAACGAATGGTCATTAAGCGAGGACTACCTGTATGCAATATAAACTGTCATTAGCTTCTTAGAAAATGAGAGTATTCTCACCCTCGTTCTGCATTTACAACTATGGCCCTGGGCTTGTCATAGTCTCCCCGTAGAACAACGCCAATTTGCTCCCCATTAAGTCTGTGGACATTAATTGTATTTGTAGCTTCACAGGTCCAGTACAAAGAATGGCTGAAAATATCAATGCTCAGGTCATGTGGCTGCTTTTCTGGATTTTGGCTTTGGTTGGGAATACTCGTGACTGCGAAAGGCTACAAGGGAAAGAAAAAACAAGAACAAAATAGGTAAGATTATTTGCTGTCACAGTATAAATAGTGCAAATTTAGTTAAAACCAAATAACCAGAGTTCTTAGAGAAAAAAAATCTAAGAATTTGATCTTATGCAATTCCACATCACAGTCCCATGGAACTCAATTACTCTTAATCTTAGGTAAGTGTTTACAGGATTGTAACTTCAGTTGATCAATTCAGTAAAGACACCAATAGAGGTGAATATGTGTAGCTCAGGGTTGAAAGAAAACATTTTATTACCCGGCTAGGTAACAACTTCAGTGCTAAAATGGGATGGGGTTTGCTCTCTATTTATGTGCTGGGGCCTGCCTTGCCAGTGCTGGTAGGGGTGGAAGTTTTGTTTTGCTCCTCTGGTAGTTCCTTGATTAGGATATGTTTACTGCTTGATTGTGTGCCTGGTGGTAACCTTTGCTTATCTGGGTGATGACTGCTGGTGATGATGGTGGTGATGACCATCCCATTTTAGCACTGAAGATGTTAATGGGCGTCTGGGCAATGAAACGTTTGCAAGAAAAGAACCAAGCTCAGAGAAGATATGTTTACTGCTTGATTGTGTGCCTGGTGGTAACCTTTGCTTATCTGGGTGATGACTGCTGGTGATGATGGTGGTGATGACCATCCCATTTTAGCACTGAAGATGTTAATGGGCATCTGGGCAATGAAACGTTTGCAAGAAAAGAACCAAGCTCAGAGAACCCCAGGGACTCCTCAGTAAAGACAACAATTCATAAAGACACACATAAAAAACCACAGCTTGATTTTTCTTCACTTAGTATTTTGCCATAGACATCTGAGATGAACTGTTCCTTCTGTGCAACAAATCCTCCACTTTTTAACATAGTACCTACCAGTAGCTGTTTCTATGCGTACATGTATTAAGAACTGCCTATTGAAGGAATGAAACAATCAAATTGTAAAAATAATGATATTAATAAGGAACTGAAACATTTAATACAAGAGCTAATGCACTTATAGGTGCCCAAACACAAAAAGCATGTATTACAAAGATTTTATTTTAATTATTATTAATTGGGCTCATTTATTTAGTCCTAGTTTGACTTGAAAAACTGCTAGGATAGTTTTGGAATAAGCAAACAAACAAAAAAAATCCTTATAATTACATAATAACTCTTAAATAAGAGATATAGCCTCTTGGACTTTTCTTGTTTGGTAATGTTTTGTATAATTTTTATGTTTTATATATTGTTTTAATGGATTTTGTGAGCTGCCCAGAGTCCCCTATTAGGGGGAGATAAATTAAATAAATAAGTTCTATATAGTTTTGTCTGGAATATGGAGTAATACTCAGATCATGGTCAATCTTAAAAAAACAAAACAAAACAGAAAACCCTAAGGAGGATTACATTCAATTAGTACTTGGGTGGGAGAAATCCCAGGGCTGTAAGTTAGACTGGGAAACTGAAAAAAATTTCCCAGAAGGCAGCAATGGCAAACTATTTATGTATTAATGTAAATAAAGCTAGATGTTCATGCAGTCACCAAGAGACAAACTCACCTTGAGGGAGAATTTACTTTTTCTACGTGATTTCAGGAAAAAACCTGAGGAATATCCAATTATGAATATTAATATTCAAAAACACTAATTAACAGAAATAATTGGAATATGAAGTATCAAAAATCACCAATATCACTGCAAATCTGGATACTAAAAATGTCGCAAGGAGGTACTCTTCAAACGGTGAAACTCTTTTCCTTCTGCAGAACAACAGACTGTATTGTAACAAGTAGACACCAATGTAATTTGCACCTAAGAAGGGCACTAATGGGAAACAATTCAGCAATTAACGCCTAGCAAATATCCCTCAAAGAGCAGGCCTGACACTACAGGGCCCCTCCTTGGTTGGTACAAATGAGACTTCATTATCTGGTAGAAAATACTACAGAAAATTAATCAAATTGGCCCAGATGGCCCCTTCCTACTCCCCCACATCTCATTTTTACAGAACAGAGTGGTGAAAATACATTCTTGGATGTATGAGAAAGAAGAAAAAGCACATTGAAAATTCAGGCAATTTTCTGTAGGGGGGAAAAAAACCCAGACTGCATCCTTTGGTTCAATATAAGCCTTAGAGCTTACAAGGAACTCTACTGCAGTTTGCCATGGAAGAAATAATAAAGGGGCTCCATCAGCAACAGCTAAAACACAACAGTGCAAATAAAAGATACTTCTATTTAAGAGGATCCTTTTTTCCTTTCCTCTCCGTCAGAAATGTCCTGGTTTGGAATCAGCAGCTTTCTATCACAGCAAGAAAAGTTTTAGGGCAGGGGCGAAAAAGTGTTTAAGGAGGTTACTTCCTAAATTTCTCCTCTCCTCTAAGATGACAAGGTTCTTTGCTTCATGTCAGTTTAAGTCCTGTAAAATCCTGTAAAGTCCTTGTTTTAGGTAGCCAAGATACACTGCAGGACCAGGTTGCAGAAGCCATTCATATAGCATGCTGCTAACAAAATGTATGCTATCAGTTTAGACACATTTCATTTATGCATTAAAAAACTTGCCTGACTGCCATCATCTTTTGCTCTTTTAATAATATTTTGACGTCCATCTACCCAGTAGATCAATGCATCAAGTGGATCATAATCAATGGCTTTAACATTTCTTAGGCCATGGATGGGAAGAATGATGTCTGGACTCTGCTGGTCATCTGGTATCATCCGACTTATCGCAGACTTCTGACTAAACAGTAAGAAGCTACTGGGTGCTAAAGGTATAGAAGAAGTAAACACAATCCAAATAACAATATTGGTAGAATACTTTTGGAGAGTAAATACACATTTGCAAAAACATCAAAGAATAAACTTTCTCATGTCCAGAGTTTTGCTACTACTATCACTGGTCACAGAACATGATTCCAATCCCACCTTCAAAGAAAATACCAGAGTGATTTACCAACAAGTCTGATACATTTCACATTACCAGACTCGGGATAAAATAGTATCTATGGTCTTCAATGAGGTCCAGAGAGGAATCCATGGAAGCCTAATCCATACAAGATTAATTTAGAAGACCAGCCTGCTTCACTTTTCCAGGACCGTCTTTGATTTATGCAATGCCAGACCCAGGTTTTAAGGGATCTCTTGGTCAGATGCCCTCTACTTCTTAATTGCTGCTGTTACTGGCATGAGGTTGAAACCAGCAGTTGCCACAGTAGAAGAGAGCAAGGGAAGCAGAGACTCCCATCCCTATCAATGCTTGCTTGCATAGAAAGGAGAGACGAATAAATAATGGTGTCAAGAAGCAGCAGTCAAACTAAGGAGTTCTGGGCCAGTGCTGGGCTCTGCTACTGTCAACTTGGCATTCATACTTTTGCTAGCCAACTGTATAGAAAGTAAACACTGCTGATATTTTCTACAAAATGTTCCGCTTATTTTCTGTGTTGAATAATAAAATTAAATATTATTCCTCTTATTGACAAGCATTATCCCAAGCCATATTAAATCCTACTATTATTACTTGCATCAGCTACACCTCTAAAACCATGACATTGTTTAAATTTAGATACTTTAAAAATGAATCTAGAATTATTTTCATTTAACCAAGTT